CTCTTTCCCCTTGCAAACTTCTCACACTTTCCATCTCCCCAACTACATCGCTTTCCTCCACCATGGGCCTTGCAGAAATCTGTGCTCCCTTGAGCACTCTTCCCACAGCCTTCAGACTTGCACCGCTTCCCCCCACCATGCCTAACACAACAGTCCGTACGGCCACGTGCACTCTTGGTGCAACCTGCAACAGCACACCTCTTTCCACCACCATGAGCAACACAGAAGTTTGTGCCTCCATGTACACTTTTGGGGCAAATGCCACCTCCATTGAAAAGGCAGCGCTTCCCCCCACCATGTGCCTTGCACAGTGGGGTGCTTCCTTCAGCACCTTTGGTACACCCTGCAAATGAGCAACGCTTCCCACCACCATGTGCTTTGCAAAACATGGTGCTCCCTTGTGCACCCTTTGTACATCCTTGGTATTGACAACGGCGTCCACCCCCGTGAGAGATGCACAATCCAGCCTGACCTTCAGCACTTCGGGTACAACCTTCTATTCTACACCTCTTACCCCCTCCATGTCTAATGCAAAGTCCTGACTTACCCCGAGCAGCTTTTGCACACCCACCTGGATACCCGCATCGCCTACCACCACCATGTGCAATGCAATAATCTGTCTTCCCCTCGGCACTTTTAGTACATCCCAAGTATTGGCACCTCTTCCCTCCACCATGGGCTTTACAATAAGCAGTACGGCTCTCGGCACCTTTGTTGCATCCTGGTTTCTGACATCTCTGTCCACCACCATGTCCAATACAAAGCCCCGAAGCACCTCGAGCTCCCTTTGTACAGCCAAAAAATCTACATGTCTTAGGATTGCTTGTTCGGTTCTCCGAAGTTATACCTGTACCCTGGGGCCCAGACGCAGTACCAAATGAGTAATTTACGGCATCAGATGGTTCTGGGCACAGTTGAGATTTAGTCCCAATAATTAATTCTTGTGTCTGCACTGAAGTTTCAGCATTATCCATTCTTGGAGCTAAAAGAAGTGATGGTATATAGCCACCTGATTTCTTTGCTGAGGTAGAACCCTCATCAACAACAGGAATCCTTGAATAATAATTTTCTGCAGATGATGGGCTTGAGAAACATGACAGATTCACATCAGTCTCAGTTGAACCTGAGCAGTCGAGCACACTTGACGCCTCATTTGTTACACCCGAAAGGCCAAGTTGAAGGATTGATTCGCATTCAGATGGCATGTGCTGAGAAAAAAGATTGGCTGACTTTTTCTTCACATTAAACCCCAAATTGTTGTAGTCATCACCATATGCCATTGGGGTAGGGCCCAATCCCAGAACCAATCTGCAGCCATCATCAGAAGCATTGGAAAACTTCATCCCAAGATTGCTCTCGGTACATCCATCACTAGTCTTATTTGTTTCTCCAAACCCAATGCCATTCAAGCATAATGTAGTATCACCAAAGTTGTCATATTTCCTAAGTTCAGCATCACGAGGAGACAGTACAGCTTTCATGTTCAAATCCATTATCCAGATATTGTGCACTACAGCTACAGAAGGTTGAAGCAGCAGAACAGTTCACCACATACTACTATAATACTCGCATACCTACCAGAACTTTAAGGCTAGAAAAGCAAATAACAATATACAGCCTCCACCACTTACAAAGCCCGATGTATCTGATCTGTCCATTTTCACTATATCCCAAGCAAAGTTTTGCAAATCTTTCAATGAATTTAATTTTACCAAATATATCTTATAACATCTCTTGGAAAGAAACCTTTGATAAGACTTCTCAACACTGATGTGAAGAGTTCTCTGGAGCTTCTCGTGCTCCCAGTGAATAAATCATTAAGCTTCATTAACCCTGGCAAAGATATAAGGAAATAAGTTATTAATTTATGAATTAATACTTAAAGAACCTATTTTAACCCACGATGCACCCATATAAAATAATTCACTACCATGACCCATGATTGAGAGGGTTCATGTGATTAAAAAATGGAAATGACATATGTCTAACCCCTAACAACCCAAGCAGAAAAAAAAAATCCAAATTAATGAAATGACACATTGGTAGGAAGGCAAAGGTACAAAAATATTATTGAGCAAAGGCATAGAAATTTCTAAACATATTGACACACAGCTACAAATGACTGGTATCATTGTGAAACAAGAATCTTGATCTGAATGTTCCTAGAGTTCAAATAAATTTATGCATGTAGATTTAGTTTCGTAGCTTCCTATTTTAAAATACACCTAGGTATTGCAACATGAAAAACACGTTTCCATATTACTTTTGTGCTGTCTGTGCACAGTAAACGATGAGCTTTTCCAGAATATTTAAGATATGTTTATAAAGCATGATGACATCATATAAGGAAACATAAGAAAATAGGAGAGAACATTTTTCCACAAAATGTTTTAACAAAATTATGGAAAAAACTAGAAATGATTGGAATAACTGTTCTTTCTCTCCCAAAATCAATTTTTCATAATTGAAGCCTGAATAATTTGCTTAAGCCTTGTCACTGTTAAATTTTTGTTTGGCTGCCATCTGGATGCATAAAGATTGCAAAGGATGGTGCCTTACTGCCTTTTCATTATAGTTTAGGTGAATTTGATATATCTTGACTTCAAACAATCACTTAAAAATTAATCACCTTGAAATTAAAATCCATACTAAATATTAGTGTAAGTTGTTCAATCATTTGAAGATAAAAAATTAAAATTGATCTTGACGCTTTTTTACCTGTGAGGGATAATTTTTTTCAAAAATCCCCAAAATGGGTAAGTTTTAAAAAGTTGTATTTGTGAAACATGACTTCTAAATCAAAGTTGTATTTTACAAATACGAAGTTTACTTTTTTTTTATGGAAGTCATGATTCGTCATTCTACTTTTAATTTTTTTTTAAAACCAAATGGCAAAGTCATATAGTGAGAACACGACTAGCCTCTAATGTTTCGTTCTTACTTTTTTTTAACATTAAAATAATATTATTATGTTTAAATAAAAAAATTTACATTGTGTTTTAAAACACTTTCTGTTTTGCTTTTTTTTTTTAAAAAAAAGAAAGTAGAAGTCGTGTTTGAGAAACAAGAATTTCAGTTTGGAATTCGTGTTTCACAAACACTTACCCTATCTTCGGAAATTTTTGTTTTAAGTTACCCATTTTGGGAGTTTCTAAAAAATTACCCCATATATTATATATTAAAAAAACCTGGTCTTAAATTACAATACCACATGTCTTTTACATACTAGCTTCTTTACCGAGAAAAATAATATGAAATTATTATATGAAAAATCAAACCTAAAAAAACGCGGTAGATGTAGCTTTCATTTCATCAAACAATTAAAAATATGTGAACCAGATTCACATTACAAAACAAGTTTCAAAGATTGTTTATACAGTTTTTCAAGCATTCAACCTTCATAAAAACAGGAAAGAGTGTCTAAGCACCACACCAAACATCGATTGTTGGGTTTTACTTAACATGCCAAAAATAAAAACCAAGAAGATCTGAAGATGGGAGAAAACCAGAAAACCTTACTTCTTCCAAAACGTATTTCACCTTGTAAATTGGCAAGTGACATTTGGCAAATATACCGAATTTGAGCCGTCAGATCATAATTAAAGTATTGGACTTTCAGATGCATTACTCTTGGAGTTTGCAAGAACCTCATAAGGTCTCCAAGTCTCCAACGAATGCACTAACAGTCATAACTCTTGATGAGGGAAAAAAAAAAATATATATATATATATATATTATAGATAGTAAAATGGGACAAATATTTAAGAGATATAAGTTGTAATAAGTATTCTAAGCCAAAAAAAAGATTGAAATTTAATTAGCAAGAATAAATGGAAACATAAAACTGTTCTATGTACACCAGAAATTAAAAGAGAAAATACAAAGGGAAGAAGATCAGCATGTAGAAGACCAAGTTCATTCATTTCATAAAGAAAGAACCTCACATCTTTTTGGAAGAGAATATTAAATATAGCTTTGAACAGAAACAGAACCAAAGAGAAAAAATAAAATGAAATAAAGCTAGGAACAAGGAAAAATAAAGGAAACTGGAAACTTCACAAGGAGTTTTCTGACCTTTGCCAATCTAATAGTGGTAGGATCCATTCTCATTTTGTTTGAATAGAACTCCATAGTCATAAAGCCTTTCAGTGTATAAATTTCTTTGCAAAATTTCCAGCAGAAACCAACTATCCAAATATATAAGAGAAGGCCAAAGATATATAGAGTTGCTCCTGCATAAAATTTGAACATAACGAACAATTCAAGCCTCAAGCTAGGAAGTAAAGGCAAAATAGGAATTTTCGTCTAGAGCAGAACACTCAAGATAGCAAACTAAGCTACACTAACTTCAAGGCTTCAACTATTCAACCAGGATAACATAAAAATATAATTGGTATACAACCAGTATATATCTTAGTAATATAGCGCACTCCTAAAAACATTATCATTCAATATACACACATGGCAACTATTAGAGAATCAGCAACAAGGGGATAAGCAGAGCAGCAGATTCAAGAGAAGAAAAAAAACCAAATCCACACATTGTTTTGAATCCAAAATTAAAGATAATACCAAGAGAGAGAGAAAATATTCAACAAGAAATATAAAATAACGCCAAGGGGATATGTAGAGAAAACCAATCAACTGAAAGGAAATCCAATTGCCTGCATGATACCCTCACCAGAAAACAAGACAAGACAAAACAAGGATTAACACAAACAGATCGAAGATTATCATATTTTCCCGAAATTTCACAATCAGAATTAACCAGTAAAACACAAACAAACACAGTCAAATCTAGCAAATTCCCAAACCAAAAACACAAAAGTGAAACAGAAAAGCATGCCATCTCAGCTATAAATATATCCCCCAATTAAATATAGCAACAGCGCCGACAAACACAAGCATAACAAATAAAACAGCCATGGAAAATCAGCTAGTTAAAAAAAAAAAAAAATCAGCTACACAAAAAGCAACTAGAGGAAGCCATAAGAATACGAAAAATGAACGAATCACAGAGCAATTGGGTTACAGAAACACGGTAATTCGGCAAAGAAACGAGAAGCGAATCGGATTAGACATATACCGCAACGACGAAAAATCTAGATTGAAGCAATAGAAGTTTCCAGATCTGAGAATCACTGAAAACCCTGAGAGTTGAAAACTAACGAAGAGGAAGACGAAGAAAAAGACAAGGAAATACCGAAATATTGACGAAAGAAGAGGCGAAGGGAAGAAGAGGAACACAAGCCAGACAGACACACAGATAGAAACTCGTTACGTAATAAAGCCCCGCAAATAAATAAAGTAGGGGCGGCTCTGTTATTTCTTTTTTTTTTTTTTTAATTTCAATTTTACTAAAATTTTCTTCGGCGAGTACGAACGCTAAGCTGAAAAATATCGAGGGGTTGCGGAATGACAAAAGTACCCTTCTCCGCAAGTGGGAAAAAAACAAGCGTCACATGCTGGCGGGGCATGCATACTTTTGGTCGAAAAGGATACCATGCGAAATTCCATTTATGCCCCTGGGTCAGCGTTTCGTACGGTCGAAACGGAGGGCGGTTTCGTCTTTTCCCATTTTGTCCACTGCAGCGGGTGTGTTTTGTCTTGGGTTAGTGGAAGCAGGAGCTGTCGTGGCACGCTCGTGTCTACCAACGTCGAACAAATTTTGGGGATATAATCGCCTGCGGTAACGGTGGCTGCACGACCGTAGTCGTGACTCGTGACCGTTGATGTATCTGAAGTGAAATCAAGTCAATTATTCGAAGAAAGCTACGAATCCATGATTTTTATTTTCTTTTGGGTGTGACGTGAAGATCCTTGTCGCCTCAACGAGTAATGATTCATTTTGATCCGATGAACATTATTTTATTAGTATATGAAATTAATAAAATATTATACAAATTCTGAAAATGTAAAATAAACTTTATATTTAACTATTTTGTATTTAATACATAATAAAGTAAAATGTAACTAGGTTGATTTTGACATTTGTGATAGTAACTGGTTTAGGGTTTGTTTAGCTGGTGGAGAAGAAGAAAGGTAACTTGGTATTGGAGGAAGCTTTATAGGAGAAAAAAAAAAGGTTAGTTCTTAGATGACATCATTGGCGGAAATGAATCTTAGAAATTAGTTCCGCACACGATTCAAATACATGATAGCCAATTAGCTGCACCGCTGCAGCGTGATTCTTATCTATTCTGGGACATAAATCCCTATCGCTGAATCTCATGACCTTCAATAGGCATATGTTAAAAATTAAATTCCTTATGAATATGAACAATTTCAAAACTTGCTTTTCATTTTTTTACGAGTCGTCTTACTTCTTTTTATGATAAATATTAATGCTTAGATAAAGAGTGAAGTGGACAAAATACAAGCAAGAGATGAGAGAGACTAAATAAAAAAAATTAATAGATTTTTAAGAGGATATGAATTAAAAATAATAAGAAGAAAAATAAAACTTTTTTTTTACACTTTGGTTGAATATAAAAGCAAAAAAGGACAGAAATAACTTTTCTTTTGAAAACGTATTTATTCTTAACTCATAATTGAAAAGATAACATAATAATTAAAAAAAATTAGGTGAGTCTCACACATTTTATCTTTTCTTTTTCTTTTTCTTCAATGATGGTCACACACATAGATATTTTCTCACTTTTATGACTCTTGTTAATCAAACAATATAAAATATAGTTAGTCTTCTCTTGTCTCTTCTCAATCTTTGTTAAACAAAAAAAAAATGTTTTTATATTTTGTAAGATATTAAATTTATTTATTTTTATTTAATATTTCATATATAAGCTACTACATTCAACTTAAATTTTTAATGTTTAATGTTAATATACATATATACTTACCTAGTCTTTTTTTTTTCAAGATACTGATAAAAAGTGGTTTATGTTCCTTTTTTATAATAATCAATAAAAAAAAATATCTCTTATATTAGTTATTTTTTTATAATAAATATTTTTAGTTAAAGTTTTTTTTAATTCAATATGTAGTTGGTAGATCAAGTTATACTATAAATAATGTTAAGGATAATTTTTTGAAAATATAAGTTTTTGATAGATTTAATATTGTCAACTAAATTAACAAAATTTCTTAATCATAGTTAAATAAGTATTTGGGATAGTCTTAATGCAATCAAGATATTGAATTGTAACACTGTCATTTTAAGTTATTTACTTCAGTTATGTGGTTAAGTGGTAAGTAGAGTTAGTTCAGGAATGTTATAAATAATTTTTTTTAAGATAAAGACTTTAGGCTATTTGCAGCGTGGGTTGCTTATAAGCAACCCACTGTGTCACATTATCTCTTTTCATTATTTATGTGCTAAAATAGGTTGTTTAAATTTTAGCAAAGTTGTTTGTAGAAGCTCCGTTGTTTAAGAAAATGAGAGAAAAAGTGCTAGAGATGCCCTTATAAGTTCATGTTTATATAGAGAGACTTTTTAAATAACTCATAAACCCTTCCCTTCTTCTACTTGCTGAGACTTTTTAAATAACTCATAAACCATTCCCTTCTTCTACTTGCTGAGAGATATTTCATTCTTCTTTCTTGTAGTTGAACCACTTGGATCACTTGAGGATTGAGAGCTTCTGAAAGCTAAGGTTTCATTTCAGAGTTGTACAAAGTTCATTTCTCTTCTCCTCTTATTGATTTGGTTCTTCAAGAGGTAAGGAAAGCTTTGTAATTGAATTCGATTGATGCATGTGGATTTAGTCATCTTAAATCATTATAATATTAATTGGTATTGTTTGAACTTGTGGGGTGATGAGTTATGGGGTTTGGGTTCCTTTGAAGTGGTTATGAGTTAAAGTGTTGAAACTTTTGTATGCTATTAAGTTGTTCTTATTGTTAAGGTTATAAGCATGTGGGTTAAATAAATGTCTTAGCTATGATACATAAAAAATTATATGAGTAAAAGTTATTTTAGAAATTAGAATATCTCATTGTGCAAATATACATTGTGGTGCTTAAGTATGGTTGAGACCCTTTAGTAAGTAATTAAGTTGACTTTTGAATGAGTAAGATGTTTTTTAAGTTTTCTTCTTCATATTTTATGCGATATCCATATGTGGACAAGGTTGAGACATACATATATAAAGTGATTGATTGAGTAAAGTACTAAGTCAGGAACTTAGTCTCTAACCTAATATCAGAGGGACATAAGTCGGTGGAAATCTCATAAGTGACTTAATGTCGCAAACTAGTATTGTGATAGACTCATACTTAAATTGTTCCACCTTAGTAATAGTACTTGACTTCCTAATTTAAGAGTCAAAACTTGAGAAATCAAATTAAGTTGTTAAACAGGTACTTTTAAAGGCTTGAAGTTGTCTATACCTGACCTGATTGTGATAGGTCAAATGTTGTGGTTCGGTAAGGTCTAACAACTAAAATTGCTCACGCCTACCGAAGGAAATCCTTTTAGTTGATATGACAATGCATTAGTTATATATTAGTGTATGATGGCTATGTAGTTGAGATGAAGTTGTTAAGTGTTATATGTGGTAAGTTGTATGAGCAGTATTTGGGACATGCTGAAGCTAATGTTGTTGTTTATGTTGATCAAGTTGATATTGATGTTGGGCTGAGAATATATCAGGATTAGCTAGTAGCTTGTGAGGGTCATGAAGATGATGACTGACTTTCTTTTGTGTTGTTGCTGCTATGATGCAATATGGTCTTGTATAGTCATTTGACCGACGAGTATAATTCATTTTGCATACTGTTATGTATTTGATATAATTATATATTTTTTGTACAAGGTATGTATATAGTCCATGAGAGCTTATTTTAAAATTTTTATTTTCTACTCTATATATATATATATATATATAACTTACATGATTGTTTACATAATTGTCACATAATAACCTTAGATTAGTTGTTATTTACTCCCTTTTTATTGTATAGTAGTTGAACCGTAGAAGTGTGTGGTGATTTGCTAGTTGTTACAAATACTTTTGTCAATACCATGAAAAAAAAAAATTGGATCTTATAAAAAATCAATAAGAGGGAGTAATACTTGTAAATAATATATTTAGTCTAAAATACCCCTAATTTAATATCTATTGTAGGATAGTTATGGAGTTGAATAATGTATTTGTTACATAATTGTATGTGATGAAAAAAACAAGGTCATTGATCAGACTTGAAATTTGTAAAAAAAAAATAATTTTAATAAATGATAAAACCTCAATAATTTTGAAACAAAAATAATAATAAAAAGATTCGTAAGATAATGAAAATACGAGGTATAACTTATTCGATAAATATATTTTTACTTGCCAAATATTTTATTTTAATATGATGACATCATCACTTTTCATTTATTGTGACAGTTTCCTTTAAAATAATTACTCATAATAGGCTAATATTATTTATCAAGTACTTTTATAAGTTTATTAATCAAAATAATTTTACTTGATACATAAGCTTATACGAGTTTATTTTAGAGGTTTAATTTATTTTTATAAGCAAATTAATAGTTTATAGTTTATAAGCTCTTATATATATATATATATATATATATTTGTTACTTTAGTTTTTTTTCTTTACATAGAATTTTTTTTTAATTTTATCCTGTCATTTTTTTCATTCTTATTGTAAAAATATTTTATATTTATAAGCTAATTCATCATTTATATCTAACCAAATATTTTTAATTCATCTGATTAACTTACAAATTTTTAACTTTTCAACTCTCAACTTTTATACATCTTTAGTTAGAATAAACTCATAAGTATTTATCTAGCTTGCAAGTTTCCATTGGGTTAATAAATTAATTGGTTTATTGCACCCTTTACAAATCGAACTTCAAAGCAAATTGCCATTGCTTTCTCTAGTCGTGGGTCATTAGGTTAGGATATGGACCAAGCAAGGACAAACTTTGGCATTAATTTCTAGCAAGCTGTGAACACTTCCAAAACTTTCTAGCCCTCGTACTTGCTTTATTAATTGGAAAATGACTAATATATACTCTATTGGTGGTTATACTTAACGAGTTTATGTATATAAGAAAAAGAAAAAGATGTACTAAATGATTTAAGGTGATAAAAATAGAGGAAAAAAAATACACACATGCATATTATTAATTAATTAGTATTAATACATATAGAGTGAAAAAAAAGAAGATAGAAGATGAAAAAAATACAAGCATGTATATTGTTAATTAATTAATTAATTAGTATTGATACAAACACACAATATACAATAACTCAGCAAAACAAGTATAAATAATACTTCTATACATTTGGTCTCTCTATCTCTATATT